AGGAAGGGAAAAACACACGAGAGAGAAGTGAGGAAATTAGTAGCAAAATTGAGGGGGAAAGAACCCTTCACATCGTGTTAGCTTAGCTTTTCTAGATCTTTCACATTGAATCTTTACCCTTTCACACCAAAAGATGGCGAAATAGTCACGCGAGTTGTTTTTCCCCCCTTAAAGACCTTAACTCACCTCCCGCTGCAGTTCCTCATTCAGTCCGTCACTCTGACAGGAACAGCTACAATCACCACTTTCTGAAGAACATTCAATCAGATAGGACGTAGAAAAAAAAAAACCCTCAGCATTTGAGTGTCAGTTTTTGTTCCCTGTCTCGTGTGTGTCATATTTCTCCTCTGTGGTTTGTTCATTTACGTGTCTAGTGTTTTTTTGTCTTTGTCTTGTGACGACAATTTTACCTTCCTGTCGCCACCGTCTGTTCTTCTACTTCACTGCTCCATTCTTATTCTGCTACATTTTAAAGCACCCCCCAATGTCATTTTTTCCCTTCTGTCCTCTTCCATTCTCCAGAGTCTACGGCACCTGGGCATCGTCAACCTGGAGTGCATGTTTGAGACCCCCGAGAAAGTGTTTGTTGTGATGGAGAAGCTTCATGGAGACATGCTGGAGATGATCCTCTCCAGTGAGAAGGGCAGGCTGCCTGAGAGGCTGACCAAGTTCCTCATCACACAGGTGTGTGTAGAACAGCGCACAGGGGATTTTTAAATTCTTTTTTTTTTAAAGAAAACATATGCGGTAGCAGTGACGTTGTGGCATGTTTACAAAAACATTTAGGTGGTATCCTTGGTGCTGCTTTTTTTTGTGTGGGGCTCCATGTGTGATGTCAAACCATTTAATTTCCTGTTTTTGTGGTTTTTGCAGATTCTTGCAGCTCTCAGACATTTGCATTTTAAAAACATCGTTCACTGTGACCTGAAACCAGAGAACGTACTGCTCGCTTCGGCTGATCCCTTTCCTCAGGTATTCACAGAAATACGTTCACAGTTCACATCACAGCGAAAGCAGACGTTAACGTACAGAAGACTTTTCCATCAGTCAAACCACACTGAAACTAGCAGAGAGTTATGAAACTAGACTTATTTCAGAATTTGTAACAGCTGTAAAACTTTTCACAGTCCACAGTTTCTAACCACATCTATATACTATAATGAGTCTTGTTTTATTTCACTAATGTATTTCTTTTTCCTTTTTTTGTCAATTTTTTCTTTATCCTAGGTGAAGTTGTGTGACTTTGGATTTGCCCGTATCATCGGCGAAAAATCGTTCCGTCGCTCCGTCGTCGGCACCCCGGCCTATTTGGCCCCTGAGGTTCTCCTGAACCAGGGCTATAACCGCTCCCTGGACATGTGGTCTGTCGGGGTCATTATGTACGTCAGCCTGAGCGGGACATTTCCATTTAATGAGGATGAAGAGATCAAGGACCAGATCCACAATGCAGCCTTCATGTACCCCCCCAACCCCTGGAAACAGATCTCCAGTGATGGTAAACAAACCAAAGTATTTTTTGTTAATATCTGTTCGGTTCTGTTTTATGGAAAAAATGGGCAAATTCTGAAAAAAAAAAACAGGTATTTAATCTAAGCTCTACTCTGAACATTTGACTTGTGTGTTTCCAGCTATCGACTTGATCAACAACCTGCTGCAGGTGAAGATGAGAAAACGCTACAGTGTGGACAAGAGTCTCAGTCATGTATATTTACAGGTATGTTCAATGACGCTAATACAAACACAGCACTGAAACACTTTGTAACTTAGACTCAACACAATACACAGTAAGAACACCGAGCAATAAAAAAAAATCTGATTAAATAATTGGTCTTAAAAAAGGCGCTGTCATCACGTTAGACAGTATGTCAAAACAAATAAATTGCAGGATAATAAGTTATGATAAATAACATGAAACCTTTCCAGTGGGCCCACCACCCGCAGGAAGGCCCACAAGGGGCCGGTGCCTTGTGATTTGGGTGGCGGTTGTGGGCGGAGACCCCGATGGCCCAATTCCTGGACAACCACTCTGGCTATGGGCTCGCTGGGGGAAAAGAGCCTGATCTTGTGCGGGAGGTTGAGCGATACCGACTAGATATAGTCGGGCTCACCTCCACGCACAGTCTGGGCTCTGGGACCCAACTCCTTGAGAGAGGCTGGACTCTTTTCTACTCTGGAGTTGCTCGCGGTGAGAGACGGCGTGCTGGCATAGGCTTACTTATAGCTCCCCAGCTTGCCAGTCGTGTGTTGGAGTTCTCCCCACTGAGCGAGAGGGTCGCTTCCCTGCGCCTTCGGGTCACTGTTGACCTCGACTGAGGATGTCGTGGGGAGGTGGAAGGAATATTTCAAGGATCTCCTCAATCCGGCTGACACGCCTTCCACGGACGGAGCTGAGGACTCAGCAGCTGATCCACCCATCTCCTGCGCTGAGGTCACCGAGACAGTCAAAAAGCTGCTCGGTGGAAAGGCGCCGGGGGTGGATGAGATCCGCCCTGAGTACCTTAAGTCTCTGGATGTTGTGGGGCTGTCTTGGTTGAC